AGAAGGGTCTAGGCCCGAAATGTCAGCCTTCCTGCTCCTCTGATGCTGCTTGGCCTCTTGTGTTCATCCAGCTCTACACCTTGTTATCATAAGAAACTTTGTGTCTGTTTCACAGCCCCAGGACATCCTAAAGTGTTTTACAGCCAATGAGGTACTTTTGAAGTGCAGTCATTATCACAATAAAGCAGCCAAGCTATAAACAGCTAGATCCCGTGTGCAATAATTACAAAATGATTTGTTTTTGTAATGCTGATTGAAGGATAAATATTGGCCAGGAATTTGGAAAAGTCCCTGCTGTTTTAAATACTACCAAAAGATCCTTTTCCTGATGGTTTGCCAGTTTAGATTGAGTGAAGTAACTTTAGTGCAGCACTCCCTCAGTACCACACAGAGTATGAGGAGGGTCAGAATGGTACTATATGAGCCAAGGCTGACATTTTAGCCTATGAAGCAGATAGAGTGAATTTGCCAGGCATTCCTTCCCTGAGGATGTCAATGAACCAGTCACATTTTCATGATGGTCTGCACCTTTCGTGACTCATGATTCACCAGATTTACCGAATTGAATTCCACAACCTGTCAATTATAAACAACATTTGAGAGGAACAGCCATGTTGGCTGTGGGCATTATGGGATGGGTTAAGAGTGGTTCATAGGTACATACAAATCCGGAACAGAATTTGGCTATTCGACCCCTCAAACCTGCTCCATTACTCAATAAGATGGTGGTTGATATAGATATGCCCTGAATCCCACATTGCCATCTGCCCCCAATAACCTTTGGCTCCTTTGACTGACAAGAATCTACCTATCTCCAGCTTAAGAAAAAGATTCAATATAAGGTGTATCAGAGATGGTGGTTTGGAGTGAGGAGGGGGAGCACGTTGTGGCCTGTGGTATTAAAATGAGTTTGACAGGGTTATGTGATGATGTATCTTCAACTTGAAAAGCAATTATCCATATATCCTTCAGAGTGTCTAAGCCACAATGGCAGCCTGGAGCATACAATTGAGCTCAGGGTCTCCTCTTAAAAGGCCCATACCTCTTCTCTGAACTTCTCTGATGAATCATCTTGAGGGCCAAATTGATGAAAATTGCCAGCTAATCGTTTCTGACAGATTTCAATACAACTTCACATCCTGTAAGTCAGGAGATGAGGAGTCAGTGGCACCATCATAAAGTCCCTGCATGAGGCCTCTCAGTCTAATGTTCTGGGGGACATGGGTTTGAATGCCACCATGACAGATGGTGAGATTTGTATTCGATTAAAATCTGGACCAAAAGAGTGAGCCTTGTAGTGACCATGTAACCAATGTCAACCAAAAACTGAAAGAACTGTGGATGCTGTAAAAACAGAAGTTGCTGGAAAAGCTCAGCAGGTCTGGCAATCTCTGTGAAAATCAGAGTTAACGTTTCGGGTCCAGTGATCCTTCCTCAGTTCACCAGACCCCGAAACGTTAACTCTGATTTTTCTTCATAGATGCTGCCGGACCTACCAATGTCAGCTGTTAGGGGGAAACCCATCTGGTTTACTAATGCCTTTTAGGGAAGGAAATCTGCCATCCTTATCTGATCTGGCCTCCATGTGACTCCTGACCCACAGCAATAGGGTTGGCTGTCTCTGAGCAATTGGGGATGGGTGATAAATACTAGTCTAAGCATATGAATATAAAAAAAGCACCCACATCTTTAAAGCGATTGTTTTAACATTGATCTCAGTTGGTCGCACTCCAGACTGAATCAGAAAGTCAAGCCTCAGTACAGAATCTAGACTAACTCTTCAGTGAAACACTGAGGGATTGTTGCACCATCAAAGATGCCATTTCTTTTGAATAATTCTAAAACCGAGGTCTCTTTTGTCCTGTGAGATTGAAGTAAAAGCTCCTGCTGTACTGTTTGAAGATGAGCAGGACAGTGCACCCCAATGACCCAACCAAACAACGCAAAAGAACTGAGATGAGGAGAAATGTCTTCACCCAGAGAGTAGTAGCCTATGGATTTCGTTGCAACACAAAGCAGTTGAGGGCAAAACACTGAATGTTTTCATGAAGGGGTTGGGAATAGTTCTTAGGGCTAATGGGATGAAAGGGTATAGGGAAATAGCAGAAACAGGAAACTGAATCAGATGATGAGCCATGATCACATTGAATGGTAGAGTGGGCTCAAAGGGCTGAATGGCCCACTCCTGCTCTGATTCACTTGTTTCTAAACCGATTGCCCCATCACACGGTCATATTTCTATTTGCTGTTTGGAAATTAGCCATCATATTTCCTACTTTACCGCAAAAGTATTTCATTGATTAATTTTGGGACATCTAGAGATGGTGAATGAGGTTCCACCATATCAGCTGTGAGAAGATGGGGTGCCTCATCTTTCACTCCAGGATATCCTGATGAAACTGCTTTATGAATGGCAGATGACAGAATCAAAAAGTTGTTATAGAACAAAAGAACACCATTCGGTCCATCTTGTCTCTACTGATTCCCCAAAGAGGCAAATGACCCTGTGCCGCTCCTCTGCCTTCTCCCTTTACACAATTCTTCCTTTCCATATAGTAATCCAATTGCCTCCTGAAATTCAATTTGATTGAACCTGCCTCCACCATACCCTCAGGCAGTGGATTTCACATCCTGAGAACAATTTTGCTGCATGAGAAAGCTTTTCCCCGTGTCTCTATTGCTTGTTTAACCAACTACATTAAATATGTGACCTTTTGATCTTGCTCCTGCCTCTGATGAGAACAAATTTTCCCTATTTTCCCTGTCCAGGCTCTTCATGATTTTAAACACCTCAATCAGATTTGCTGTGGACCTTCTCATCTCCATGGAGAACATCCCAATTTCTCCAATTTGTTGACAGAACTGAAATCCCTCATCCCTGTATCTTTCTCGTATATGGTAAGAAAGAAACTATTGGCGTTTCAATAGCCAATTGATTGTCTTCATGATGTTCCAACATGTGTTCAAGACAAAGTACGTTGCATTATAGTCATTGTCACGATGTAGGAAATGCAATAGCCAGTTTGTCACAATGGCAAGACAATGATAACTATTGACTTAGGAATGTGGGCGGAATTCCCAAGCTTCAAATAATGCCAAGCTCCCTTTTTATTCTATCAAATAAGACATATTGGACTTTAGTTCAAATTAGATTCGAAAAGTACCGCAGCAGCTTGGGACTTGAACTTACAACTTTGTGACTCAACAGGGAAATGCTCCTGACAGAACCCTCAAATCCTATTATGAATTCTCTGATGTGGGATGGTTGCTACTTTGGGGCATTTCTAAACCTCCAACAGCCCAATGTACAAACAGAGAACTCTGCAGAGTTGACCACAACTTGTAGAAAAATTCTTTTATTGTAAAGTCCGGCTTCTCTGCCCGAAGCACAATAATAAAGCAACAGTACAATGTCCATAAAATAGGATAGTGATGCCTTAACATTTTGTTGCATGTCATATTTTTGAGACTTCATGTAATTTTTTTTTTACTAAAATAAGAACTTTTAAGATTGTACAAATTGACACATAGAAATGACATAGAAATCAGGCATCTCTCACTGTGATGGGACAGGTCAGTGCCTGACACATATTAAACACAATACTTAAAGCAAAAAAAATGGTTTACAAGATTTAAACAGGAATAGGTCTTGTTCTTTCATACTTGCAAAGACAAATGAGCTCTGTACATGGCCCCTTGTACCTCTCATTGTGCCTGCAAGTTGTACCACAGAGAACATTCTCACAAATTTAAAAGGTGTTGTCAGCAACTAAATTCAATACTTAAGGCTCAATATTCAAACTGTCTTGTTCTCCACTGGCCCGACAACATGTGTTGTGTCTCAAAAGTCACAAAGTCCTGTCAAAAATTATCTTAGTTCTCCTCCTTCCACATGGATTGCCCGAAAATGTGCTGTTGATTTGATTTTTGTTTCTCATTGCTCCTTTAAAGCTTAATCTTACAGGTTAAATCACATTTTCTCCCAGGTTTTCGTTTTGAAACCATCTCAGGGCAATTGTGACGAAGACCAGCAGCTTCATCTTTTTTTTTCTCTCTCTCTCTCTCTATTTGTTTTGGATGTGGTTATGAGCGAGAGAATGAGACGGCAGGATGTGGAAAACAGCGATGACCTAGCATCAGATGAGCCTATTTCACAGTTATCCACCTTCAACAAATAAAATTGTCCTTCAACAGTTAAACCAATGTCATTAATGTCAGTTCCTGCACTCAATATAATTGAGCACTATATATATATATATATATATATATATATATAAAAAAAGGGGAGGGAGAAAAATGAAAATAAAAAAGGAATGTAAATCTGTCCAATCCCACCAAAGTTTAGTCCAGCATTCCATCTTTCGAAAGGTTGATGTAGAATTTTAAGGCCAGGCTGCTCGGCTAAGTGTTAAGATTCTTCGCAGGTTTCTTTTGATCCGTACAGCTCTGCCAGCCTCTTAAACCGGGGTCCCCAGCTGTTGAGGTAATCATAGTCCAGGTCAGATTCAGTGGTGGCCGATTCCAGAGAGCTGAGGGATCCAGCCACTGAGTCCCTCCCCTCGTAACCGTAGATCTGGATGGAGTCGTAGGGAGGGGCGGTGGGGTCACAGTCAGCTTCCTGCAGCCTGACTTTGATGAAGTCGTCGACGTCCACACTGTTGGGAGCCGTGCAGAAGCCTTGCCTGGGCATGTACTGGAGCTCAGGCTTGATGTCCTTCCTGGGTAAGAAGCCATTCAGCCCATCTGGGTTCTGCAGTGTTGCGATATCAAAGGCCTCAGTGTCCTCCTCCCCTCCTCCTTCATCGTCGTAGCTGATAATATTCTCGCGCACATCCTCCTCCTCAAACACGATCAAAGGCTCCTTCTTCTGACGTCTCAATGTCACAAACAGAACCACGATCACTGGGGGGAGGCAGAAAATAGAGGCAAGTTATCGTCTGGAAAGGGCTTGACTCACAGAGGAGCATTCAGCGGCAGAATGGACAGGGCTGTGCCCTCAGAAAGGCGCTCAATGTAGCAAACCCAAGGATGTGCATAGTCAACAAACTGAAGATTTTTCCACTTATACAGTCTAGTAGTTTAACTAAGAGCAAATTGGGGCAGCACGGTGGCTCAATGGTTAGCACTGCTGCCTCACAGCGCTAGGGACCTGGGTTTGATTCCACCCTCGGGCAACTGTCTGTGCGGAGTTTGCACATTCTCTCAGTGTCTGCGTGGGTATCCTCTGGGTGCTCCGGTTTCCTCCCACAGTCCAAAGATGTGCAGGCTAGGTGGATTCGCCATGCTAAATTGCCCGTAGTGTTCAGGGATGTGTAGATTGGGTGGGTTTATAGGGGAATGGGTCTGGGTGGGATGCTCTGAGGGTCGGTGTGGACTTGTTGGGCCAAAGGGCCTATTTCAACACTGTAGGGATTCTATGAAATTACTGCAGATGCCAGAATCTGCAGTGAAAACAACAAATGCTGGAGATCACAGGGGGTCAGGCAGAATCCATGGAGAGAGAGCAAACTAACATTTCGAGTCTACGTGACTCTTCTTCAGAGCTGAAGCTCTGATAAAGAGTCATCTGGTCTCAAGATATTAGCTTGCTGTCTCTCCATGGATGCTGCCTAACCCACTGTGAGCTCCAGCATTTGTTGTTTTCTAGCAGTCTAAGTCATAGGTTCACAGGTTCCCCAAACACTGCAGTTGTCATTTCAAATCCTTCTATTGAGTAAGTTGACCCGAACAGGACAAATTCAATTCATCTGGGCTTATATTTGCAACCAAAAAGCATTTCAATTTTGCCAGAGGAGTTAAGATAGATTTGAGTGATTGAGGGTGGCTCTAGACTGACTTAAGTGGAGCCAGTCTAACTGTTTGTCTCAATGTGTCAAAATGTGGGGAAAAAATGGTGCAAGACTTTTTATTCACAAATTAAGTCCAATATGAGTTTGTGTTGTGTTCAGACAGTGAGGGACTGTTCGATCCAAGCTGTCCTTCCAACTCACTCAGCGAGTAGTCAGGACATGGAATGCACTGCCTAGAAATGTGGAGGACAAAGGGTAAATCAAGGCATTCACCAGGGTAATAGATGAGTATTTATACAGAAACAATGTCCTGGGCGACTGGGAAAAGGCAGGAGGATGGCGTGAGGTCAAAATGCTAGTTTGGAGACCCAGTATAAATACAAAGGGCTGAATGGCCTCCTTCTGCACAGTAACAACCCTCCAGTCCTGTGTCATTGATACTTTGTACACTCTCCACCTCATCCCAAAAACACTTCAACTCCTGAGAGAGGTGAAAACAAAATAGGTTAAAAACTGAACCCAATCTGGGAGCCAAAACAAAATGGAAATAGCCATCTCTGACTGTCCCCTGCCCCACACCCGCCTGCCCCCTCCACCACCAGCATTCCTAGGTGATTAAATATAGTGCGGGAGATCCGAAGATTATTGGCTGACTGGAGTTCTTAGCTCTGGCAATGTGCCATACAATGTCGAGGTGGCTGAATCATAGAATGATACGAACAAGGGACATAGGGTAGGCCACTCAGTCCTTCGAGCCTGCTTCCCCACTCAATAAAATCATGGCTGATCTGATTTTAACGTTAACTCTACATTCCTGCATACTCCCTGATAATCTGCCATGACCAAATTGTATAGGATTCCATTCAGTCTCCACCCACATTTCTGAATAACAATCCAGTTAGACCTATTCTCTGGGCACTTTCCCATATCCCTACAATTTTTCTCCTTCAGCTGGTCATCCAGTTTCCATTTTGAACGTGTCTATAGAATCTGCCTGTCAACCTAAACAGTACATTCTAAAATCTAACCAGACAATGTCCTGAAAATATTTATGTCAATATTGCACCCTTGGTTCTTCAGTGCATCATTTTTTGACTCTTCAAGTAGCTGGGAATTATTTCTCTTTATTTACTCTATCATTGAGATAATCTGGAGAGACTGTTGAAACTAAGATTGAGAATTGAATATTATGGGGAAATATAATAGGGGCCGTCAGAAGCATTAAGGGTCTCAAATGCAGTGCAAAGTGATAAACTGTTTAGTAAACATAGGCTGCAGATTCTTCCAACAGCCACTAGGATAAAATCCATCAGGGCCAGGGGGTTGGTGTGACATTTGTTCTAAAAATTTTCTCAGTCCCATTCCACAGTGATTGTGATTGTTTGAATGTCCTCACATTTTTCACTTTCAGGTTCACAGTTATTTTCAGGATGTTATTTGTATTCTCTACTGTGAAGACACATGCAAAATATCTGTCCAATTAATCTGTCATTTGCCTATCACAGGGTTACAGATGTGTTATGGTGCAGAATGAAGCCATTCAACCAATCGTTTCTGCTAGCTATCCCACAGCCATTATGAATTAGAGTCATTCTCCTGCCTTTCCCAGCAAACCCCACTGCATGTTGTTTCTATTCTGTTAATTATTTAATGCCCTCTTGAATGTCCCAATTGAACCCGCCTCCAACACATTTTTAGGCAGTACACTCAGAGTCAATGTGTAAGAAAGCTCTTTTTTCTCACTGTTCATTTTCTTCTTTCACAATTTGTTTATTTTCCACAGTTGGTTCCCTCGTTTCTACTCTCCAGAGGACAAACATTCACTTCATTGACTCTTTTCCTTCATGAAAGCCTGCAGAAGCTCTTGCAATCTTTCTTTTATATTTCCAACTAGCTTTTTTCTCATTCTCTAATTTTTCCTTTCTCATTAATCATTTTAGTCATCTTTTCTGTTCATTGTATTCTCTCCAATCTTCATAAGAAAGTAAGAACTAGGAGAAGAAGTGGGCAATTCAGCTCCTAGAGTTTGCTCCACCATTTAATATGATCATGGCTGATGTCACCTTAGCCTCAACTCTATTTTCCCGCCCAGTCTCCATAACCCTTCTGTAGTGATTGTAATGAGGTCAGCCAGGTGGACCTCACAGAATATGAGTTCCCTGCTTGGGGCTGTTAACCTGGTTCAATCAGGGAGACCTGGCTGACAGATAATAAACAGAGTGTCAGACATCCTGCTCACTCTGAGAGTTGGCTCTGAGGGAGCTGGATCAGTGCCACGGACTCTCCACGTGTAAATAAAGGGGGACTTAGTGACAGAATACCAGCCTCTGTGGAGTTATTTCACTTTCAACCTATTACTAATTAGAATTGTGTCTATCTTTTCCTCTACCACACTCTGGGGTAATGAAATCCACAAGATTTCCACGCATCGATATTGTAGAATTCTATATTTTTTTCTTTTACCATGATAGTATATTTAACTTGCTTCGTTAGCCCCAAATCATTTGCCATTCCTTAGAATCCTTCTTTCTCATATGAATGTTCTGAAGTATCTCTGTAATTGTCTACTTATCTATACTGACTTATCTTTTAACCCAGTTCAGCTCAGAGAGCTTTGTCTTTACACTCTCATAGTTGCCATGATTAAAGTTCAAATCGTTAGTGCCCAATCCGTTCTGCTCTCCATCAAACTGAAAGTAGTTTTCAATTGTATTATGATCACTGCTGCCTAGTATCGTTACTGTGAGGTTGCTAATTACTGCTGTCTCATTGCAAACGACCATATCCAACAGACCCTATTCTCTGGCTGCCTCTGGAAAATACCAGGAATATTCCAAGGAATCATGCTGTAAATGCTCAGTGAGTTCTCATCTAGATTACTCTTGACAACTGATTCATCCAAAGTTAATATAGAGTAAATTACCCATGCTTATCATCATACCATCCTTACAGCCATAGCCCCAGCCCCTGCCATTATTTCTTCCTTAACACTATTCTATAGTGTGGTTGCTTTTAGGGGGCATATGAACCACTTCCACAAGCAATTTCTTGTTTTTACTGTTACTTGTCTAAATGACCAAAATGATTCCACATCTTAATCTCCAGAACAAAGGCTTCCTCTCCCACCCCGCCTCTCTCTACTGCACTGTGATGCTATTCTTAATTAATCAAGCAATTCTTCCTAGTTTCCCTTTCGTTCCTAAATGTCAGGTACTCTTGACTATTAAAATCCCAGTCTTTGTCTATTGATAGTCATGTCTCTGAACGCTCACACATATTCATTTTTCAGTGCTGCCAATTCATCAAAGACTGCTACGGGGATTGGAAAGTTCACATTTTATTCACTGCAGAATGTTTACCTTTTGTTATCAGTGCAAAGACTGAAAGACTGGCTGTTGCTTTGGTCCCTCTTGGTATTCTACTCCAGAAAATCATTTGGCTTATTGAAGAAAATTGAAAGAGACAGAATGACATTCTACAGTCACAATTGTAAAATCTTAATTTGATTGGTAATGGAAGGGAAAGTAATAGCTATTCCCAACAAGCTGCCAAAGTAAGGGTGGATATAAATTAAAATTTTAAAAAAAGAGAACTTCAAAGCATCAGATCAGAAATTGATTTCAGAGAATTCCGGAGACTTTTCTGATGAGGCACTGAGACCTGAGAAACTTTAATTTGCCTTTTCTCAGCTCCAAGTTCTGCCGTTTGTTAAATAGACCTGAACTAGGCAGGCTGATAGCAAATAAAGTAGGGGATTACACACATTTAATTTGCATCTGCTTTAGCACAGCTGCCAAGGGCTCTGGTGGTGCAGTGATAGTGCCCATACCTCTGAGCCAGGAGGCCTAGGTTCAAGTCCCACCTGCTCCAGGGGTGTGTAATAACATCTCTGAATGGGTTGGTTATCTACCCCACAGAATGTCATTGGTTCACAAAAATCAGAATGACAGGGGATGATTGATGTTTTTCCTTCATTCAGTTCAGATTCACTTTGTTGAATTGGGATTTTCCGGAGATGATTCTAGAATCACAACTGATGCCCCCAGCTTCTCCAGGATTAAAAACAATTCAGACCAACTGAGTGATTTTATCATATGAGCTTTGTCTGTGTGG